ATTCTTCCTAAACAACTTGATTGGCCCGAGCTTGCATTTGACACGCACAAGAGGCGGAAGTTCAGCCTATTTCGTCCGTAAGCTGATTTCGTATGGACCGGAGCTGGTAATCCCCTCCAAAAGTGCCACCTTGTCCAGTGGAACAGTCTAACAGCATCCTAAGAACTTACAATCATATTATCGATAGATTTTCCTTCAGTAACTTAATCATCCAACAAAAAACTCATTCGTAGCTGGTGACGAGTTATCCATTGGACATTTTGTCAGATAATTCGTTGGTAAATTGTTGGGAATTCCAACAGCAAGAGCATTGGTAAGTATTAACAATTTGATCCACCAAAAATTCAACGAAGAATTGATTTCAAGAGATTTAAAGTCTACGAAAATCATTCACAGCAGGATTTTTTCCTCAAGTCAATTGTCCATATGAAATCGCACAAATACGAAAATTTTCAATAAGCAATTATAATTTCCTAATAAAAATTAACCTTCTAAGTTTTTTTAATAGTGTTTTAATTGATCCCTCATGTTTTGATATGCCCGCACTTAGCAAGGTAGATAGGCTTGTGTAAACTCTTGACTCAAGCCATCCCTAGGGGCTGTTTGGTAGCACCCAGGATTTCATTTAAACAAGATTTCGTAAAGCCGGATTAGGGAAATCATAGGGGGGGGGTTAAATCCTAAAAATGGATTGATATCATTCAGGATAAATTCTGCTAAATCTGATGTGATTGTTTAGCTATTCTGAAGAGGCGAGGGTGAGGAGATGAGGAGAACAACGTGGCTTTCATTTAAATCCGCCGAACGAGATAATTTCAGAAATCCAGGATTTACCACGAAAAGGCTGAATTTCCCATCAACCGCAGCTTTCATTTACATTGAGATTTGGTTTTGCATTTTAGGCCGTTTGACTAGATTTTGCTCAAATCCGCCTCAAATCCGGCCTAAATCCTGCTACCAAACAGCCCCCTAGTGTATTAAACTACAACTCACAATCCAAGGTCCTCCAATTTCATTGTATTTATTTTAAAGATTGGACAATGACTTGGATCTATTGTTCAGAGTGACGGTGAAATAGATGGGAATATTATGAGCAGAATTCAAGTTGGATGATTGAAGTGGAGGAATGCATAAGGCTTATTATGCGATAGAAAAGCCCCCCTTAAACTTGAGGGAAAATTCTATAAGATGGTGATGAGACCTGCAATGCTTTATGGTAGTGCCGAATGTTGGCCATTAAAAGAAAAGAATGATACTAAGTTAAGTGTTGCAGAGATGAGAATGCTTAGGTGGATGAGTGGGTTGACCCTTAAAGATAGGATACGAAATGAGCATATACTTGAAAAGGTTAGAGTAGCTCCAATGGGAGATAAGATTAGAGTTTTTAGAGAGAGTCGCCTTAGATGGTTTGGTCACATTAAACGGAGGCCTTCCGATGACCCGGTTAGGAAAGTTGAGGTATTAGATTTGACTTATATTAAAAAAGTAGAGGTAGACCTAAAAAGATTTGGTTAGAAAATATTAGAAATGATCTTTCTTTATTAGATTTAAATGAGAATTTGACTTTTAACCGGACACAATGGCGAAAAAGGATTCATGTAGCCAACCCCATGTAGTGGGACAAAGGCTTGATGTTGTTGTTGTTGTAGTACAGTAATCACAACTGAAGCACTTGCAAGCACCATCCCAAAACCAAAATTGCTGCCTGCTGCATTCAACCACACAACTATGTAGAGAAACCCAATTATTTTCTATTTCATCCCACAGGTGACTAACCACCCCAAAGCCCTTGCCTTACTGCATCGCCTCTCTTGGTCTCACCCCTCTCTATCCAACTAATCTAGCTTCTTTCCCTAATTTCCCTATGTTTAACTTCCATGCACATTCATGCTCAAAGACAATAGCTAAATTATATAAGAAATAATTAGATGACATTGGTTCTCAAATATCATAGTATCTACTGAATTGCAAAACTTAACCCCTAACTCTATGGAGCATAGTTATCTACAATTCAAAGGCTAATGATGTATAGTGTTATTTGGACACATCAAAGCTTAATTAAGTCAAATACAATGGAGTTAAATCAAGCTATAATTGGGTTGAGCCAAACAAATTTTCAAGTCTATTTAGGCCCAAATTAATTTTTGGCTAAACTTTTAATAACTTTGTCAATCTATTTATTACGATGAACAATCCTTTTAGATAGTATGTAATTTAAATTTAAATTTAAATGTTGGATAAGATTATATTTGATATAAAATAATTAGTCTTATCTATATAACCTCATTTTTATGATAACAATTCAAGGTTAGCATTAGAAGATTGCTTATTGATGACTAATCAAATGACATTATTCTTAGGCTTACTAGTTAATTTAAGATTACTTCAAATTGTGTATGTAGAGCTTCTATTTATCTCCTCGCTTTCATCTTCCCACCACCATCACATTGCTTTTTTTTTTTTCTCTAATTTATGGAGTGGTTTATAATTTGATTTGAAGCCCTTTAGGATTAATTTTTAACTTTTAACAGTATCATCAAGTAGCCCATTGTGCTTCTTGAGCTAATGTGTTTTTGTGTTTTATTTAGGTTTTGACATGAGCTAGCAAATTAACTTGGCCATTTAAATGTTGGAGCCTACTAGATGAAAATGTAACTTAGATAAAAGTTGTGCCATAAGATATGTATAAATAAGTTAAACACCTCATGCAACACACAAAGATGAATGATAACCAATTTTTAGGATAAGGCTTATAATGATAATGAAAAAGTATGAGATTGATGGAGGGTTGTACAAGTACATTGTCTTAAGATGAAAGCAAATCCTCCGCAAATGAAGGTTTTGTTTGGGACAACTTTATTACTGTTTTTTAAAGCATATTTTTTACAAAACATCTTGTTAAAAAATTTATGTACTAAAAAGCTGCTTTAAAAAGCAGTAAGAAAGTTATCCTAAATGAAATCGAAGTCATATGAAAACTCAATGCACCGCCCAAAAATTAGAGTCATTGGAGAGAAGCTTCTGAAGTTGGAAAGTGGGCATACGATCCAATCAATCAATTAAAGAGAGAAAAAAACCACTCTCAAAAAGTCTAGGGCCAATTTTGAATGAACCTCATATTATAAGTTTTTAGCTCTTTAAGCTCTAGTGTTAAATGAACATCATTAAATATAACTAATATAATAGCTTTATATTTATAAATAGGTCTAAGGATTAGGGGCTAATGAACTAACACGCTCCCACCTCAGTAGAGAGCCTAAAACTCAACAAGCAATCTTCAAGATTTGTTCACTATCAGTTGGAAGACTCTCACAAACTCAAAATCGATCTGGACAACTAGTATGGAAGTCAAACTAGTGTAAACTTAACTCTAATAGGTAGGCTTCAATCACTCTAGCTTGGACCTAATTTTGTTTCATTAAGAAGCTATTTGGTTGGTTGAAAAAGTAATGTAGTAAAAAAAGAATGCAGTGTAAAAATAATACTTTGGAGTTGTTTCATGTATTAAAACAAAGAATAAGATTATTTTTTTATTTAATATGAAATAAAATAAATGAAAAATAAATTCCAAAGAGAGTGGTGGTCGATGGTCGATGGTCAATACTAACAGTAGTGGTCGGCAACGGGTGACAGCGAGTGATGGTGAAAATAGGGTCTCGATATTTGACATGACCTGAAAACCCGACCCAAAAGTTCGGGCTTGGGTAAACTTGTTTGGAAAATAGGTCGGGTTTGAGTTTCATGTTCTGACCTGTTTCTAATTTCGGGTCGAGTTCGGGTCAACCGGAAAACCCAAAAGAAACCCAAAACTGACATGGGCTCCTGTCCTACGCCGCGCCGAGAAAGCCCCCGCCTCGAGGCCCCACTCGCTCACGTAGCCCGCGCTCACGCCTGCGCCCCGTGCTCACCCCTAAGGCCCTTGCTCGCTCCTGTGGCCAGTGCTCGCAACCTCGCATATGAAGCTCGCGCTCACATCTTGCTCACACCCGCAAGTTAGAAGGTTGGGTCCGAGCCTAAATTTCTAACTCGTTAGTCTAATCAGGTCAGAGTAGATGAAGGCGGATTAGTTTCGGGTTGGACCCGAACCCGACCAAAAAATCTATTTTGACACCCCTAGGTCAACGATGGGTCACCAGAGGTGGGCGCTGGTGGTTTGCGATGGGTGACGATAGGCGGTGGTTGCTGGCGGCGAGGATGGTCGAAGGCGGGTGGTGATGGTGATAGTCAGCAGACAATCATTGATTGTGAGTGGCGACAATAGTTGTAAATGCAAATTTTAAGTAATATTAATCATGGTTCATGTTTTAGACTTCTCACTCAATTAACAAGGGAAAAGCATGATCCAGCTTAATTCTACATAAATATAAGAAATTGAGTCCAAAAATAAGTTTCATTAGGGTGATTTTCATAAGTGAATTTTAATTATCTCTATTTGTTTAACAAATACTCACTTCTTACCTATTCAGTTCTTATTTTTGTTTTACAATATTTCATTATTTTGCACCCTCTTAATAAATGCCTTTAGTTATTATTATAAATTATAAATATTACATCCCATTAATCTCATATTTACAATATTATTCTATGTTAAAAAACAATGTGGCTTTCCAAACCTCATAATCAAAACTCACTTGTAATCTTAATAATGTAAATAAAAAATTACGCTTTCATTCTTTTTCTACCAAGCAAACATTTAAACCTAAATACACAAGGGAGTGCCAATCACTTAAAACACTTTAAACTAAAAAGAAACTAGTCTAATGATCCCACTACTAAATAGCAATTCTTAAACATGTACCTCAACATGTGGCTGCATTCCAGTTCAATATTTGATCATCAGCCAGTCTCAATATTAGATCATCAGTTAGGTAGCCAAAGGATCATTCTTCTTAAAGAACCACCTTAATGATAGGATCAGAAGCCCATAGGGGCAGTCCTCTCACAAACTGAAACCTTGGCTTCCATCCTATCCACTCTTTCCAAAGCAGAACACTTGTAAGTATGGCAAAATCTTTAACATTAAAGGGAAAAAAACATTTCACAATTAACACACAACAGCAAACGATAAGTTTTTCAATATGGCATCACTGGTCTAGGCAAAATTTAATCAACTGACAAAAAATGTATTAGGATGGAAGACTTAAAAGTTCTTAAAAGCTCACTGCATGCTATCTGAATATAAGTTACTTGAAACACTTGGCATCCAGTAGGGCCTCCCCTTCAAAGGGCTCTTGATCCTCGATAAAGGCATTGACACGCTCCTTCTGACCTTCGTCATTGATGTCTACCTTTGTCCACTCGTAGAGCTCCATATCATAGCATTCATCAAGCACAAACTGAGGAATATCCTTCCCTCGGAAGAGCCACAGCCCCTTCACTTTGTATGGTGAATCAGAGCCAATCACAAGCATCTTACCAAAGGCATACTTGCGCGCAAGGTCCATGCGTTGGAGAAAGCCACCCACCTTGTTCAATGTCACAAAGGAAACAGTGTTCTCATCGTTGTACTTATAATCACAGAACCATAGAGAGTATCCCTCAGGGTCATACATATCCCAGAAACCTAAAAAAAATGAAATCAACATGAAACAAATAATGTATTTCATGAAAAATGTAAATACTAAGAAGGCAAACTAACCTTTAATTGCAACCTCACGGAAATTAGTTTTTGTATTTGAATACAGCCTCTTCCATTCATCCAGTATCATCTTACTTGGAGGCAAAAGATCAAGTGGGTTCTTTGGTTTGGGCTTTGGTGCCTCCTCCTCTTCCTCAGCAGGCTCTTCTGCCTTAGGTTTTGGCTCCTCTTTCTTAACTTCTTTCTTGGCTTCTTTCTTTGCTTCCTTGGGCTTAGCCGGTTCCTTTGGATGAGCTGGTTTCTTTGATGCAATTGGTGGAACAGATTCAGCCTGCTTCACCTCACCTACGATCTTGCGGAAATTAGGCTGGTTAACAATTGTCCAAAAGTATCTCTCGACATGAGGGAACTCCGAGGTAAAACTCTTAGTCATGATTCGAGTAAACCCATTATATAAGTTACAACCCAATATGATATCAGCTAATGTCACACTGTGCCCAACCAAGTAAGTATTTTTAGCAAGGTGAATACTCAAAGCTTCCAATCCCCTCTTCAAAGAAGCAATAGCAAGCTCCTCCACCTATGGAGTTATAGCGTGCATAAAAAAGGTAGAGATGAAAAAAGAGCATTCAGCTATGATGTTATATGTTGACTTAAGCAAAAAAAATAAAGAAAGCAAACCTGACCTGGGCATTGTATTGTAAAAATCCCAATCTTGGAGAATGCCACCGAGTAACATTTATATCAATCTCATTTGTTGAAAAATCAATCCATTGCTCAATTTGAGCCTAGGAAAGTACAGAAAAATGGTATCAAATAGGTCATTTTATCGAACAGAAAGAACAAGGAAAAGCTTCTTACATATTCAATAAGTGAAGAGCCATAAAGAGGATTGTCAGCTTTCAATCGGGTAACTGCAAAAAAAATGGAGTCTAGCTGTAAGCTTTGAATAAATAATGTAGTCTATAAACATAATGTGGCATCAACTAGTTTAGTTGATAAAAATCTTGTAAGTTTAGGTTCAAAATCAAATTTGGGCCTTACAGTGATTATTCCCCCTCCCAAAAAAAAAAGAAAAGAAATGCAAATCCTACCATAGCGTGCAATAGCATTGCTCTCAAAGACAGGTCCATCAGGTGTCTCTAATACAGGAACCTGCATCATCATGCATCTTTCATATAAATTTGGATTTAAATACATAATAGATTTACATATAAAAAATTTAATTGCAAAGGCTACCTTTCCTATTGGGTTCATTTTAAGAAATTCAGGACTTTTATTTGAAACACCCATCTGAAAATCCTTGACAAGTTCAACCTCAATTCCGCTGTATTCTGCAGCAATGAGGGTCTTCAAAGCATTTTTGTTTGGCCAGCCAGCATGAAGAACCTGTAATAATAAGAAGTTCCATTTATTAATACAGTAATGATCTGGCAGGCCTCATATCATCTGAATATTTGAAAGATTACCACATACAAAATACCCATGGCCAAGCCAGAGCAACAAGCGTGTGGCAAATTGAGATGATATAATCTAAATGTTCACAAAAAAAAAAAAGGAACAAGATCTCCAATACGACTAATATGAGCAAAGAAAATTGCTCGATTCTCTAAAATTAAAGCCAGCGGACAACAACTTTTACTTGGACCTATAAACCGCATACCTTTATAGCCTAAAAAAAAGGTATAATTAACCTAAACCTACGAAGAACTACATATAGTCAAATAATGAAGAACTGTACAATATCAATATGTGTCGGTTAAAAAAACTAGAGCTTTTTACGTTTGTATAGACATAATTCCAAGATAGAAGAAATTATAGGTTAAACTCACCAGCGCCATGGCTTGGATGCTACTCGTTCTCTCCACTCACAGATCTGAAAAATTGACAAATTCTCAAAAATTGCGAAAAGAGAAATCTATTCTGATCCGATCAACTTAAAATCAAATTGAAATATAACCAAAACGAAATTTGCTGACAAAAAATGAGAAGATGAGATACCTTGATATGAGATGCGAGCAGACCAGAAATCAGAGAGCCTCCCCGCTCAAAGCAAACCGTTTCGCAGGCAGTCTTAGGGCATGCCGAGCAGGCCTCGCCTCAATATAAGATCCAGATGTCTTTTTTTATTACCAAAATAACCTTTAGTTTGAGCCGGATCGGAAATCCAATGGGCATTACCCATAACCTTGGGCGGCCTTTTTAATACTAAAATAAGTGTGGAAGGACAAAAGCCCATTGGGCGACCAATGCTGGAGGCGACTACATTGTCGTTGCAATTTAAAAATATATAAAATATTGCTAATTATATTGTATATAATAATATCTATGTATATGGAGATATTATTATGCACGAACAGTGTAAGCAATATTATTCAACAATAACATCAAACTTTTATTCTAATATGTGAGTCCGATTAAATGAATCATTTTTTTAGGGGTGTCAAAATTGGGTCATGGGTAAGGTTCAGGTCGAACCTGGAATTGATCCGACTCTAAATGGGTCGGAATCCCGAACCCAGACCCAACCTGTCGGGTTGACAAGTTGACCTGACCTGACCTGACCCGCCAAATTGATTTTAACAGGATGAATTGATAGGCAACAACTCCAACACTGTGGCAGCATGTGCTGTCGTGCATGTCTAGCTGACGTGACGTCGATGGATGATGGCAGGGACGATGCGAACTAGGCTGATGACGCTACAGTCGCTACTGGCGAGGCAACACAAACTGTGCTGAGCAAGCGGACGCCGGAAGCAGACCACGGTTAGCCGGACCAGCCGGTTACGCAAAGACTCGAAGTGGAGAAGTCGAACCCCAACCATGCATCGCCTGAGTGAGGCCCTGAGCGAACGAACTCCAAACAAGGTCACGCGAGGAGAAGTCAAACTCGACAAACAGTTGGGTGACTGACACGATGCGAACTAGGCTGATGACGCTACAGTCGCTACTGGCGAGGCAACACAAACTGTGCTGAGCAAGCGGACGCCGGAAGCAGACCACGGTTAGCCGGACCAGCCGGTTACGCAAAGACTCGAAGTGGAGAAGTCGAACCCCAACCACGCATCGCCTGAGTGAGGCCCTGAGCGAACGAACTCCAAACAAGGTCACGCGAGGAGAAGTCAAACTTGACAAACCGTTGGGTGACTGACAGGTCAGAATGGGTTGGTTTTGGATTTTTGGGTCAACCCAAAATCCAAAACCTCCAAAACCAACCCGATTTTACAAACGAGTCAGAATCCCAAAACCCGGCCCATTTCTCAAACAGGTTAATCCTAACCCAGAATTTTCGGATCGCGTTCGTGTCAGATTTTGGGGTCATGTCAAATATTGACACCCCTACATTTTTCTCTATTATGTCCTAATAAGAATCAAATTCTCATTTAAATATAATAAAAAAATCATTTCTAATACTTTCTAATCTAATATTTTTAGGTTTATCTCCATCTTTCTTAATATATGCTAGATCTAATACATGTACTATCCTAACAAAATCATCGAAAAGCAACATTTTATGTAACCAAACTATCTAAGGCGACTTTCTCATTCACCTGAACATCCTCATCTTTGCAACACTTAACTTTATGCTTCTCTTTTAATAGCTAACATCCAACGCTAAAATTATATCCACCATATAATATTTTTACCCTATTTATATAAGACTTTTTTTTTCACCTAACAAAGTATAAAGTATGAGGCGAAATTTTATTAGACGGCTGCGAGTGGCGACCTCCTACAATAATTTCTTGGATTTAGGAGAACTTCATTCTTTTTTCATTGAATGGAAAATTCAAAATAGAGTTTTTAGTATTACTCTTGACAATGCTTCATCTAATAATGTTTATGTTCAGTTCTTAAGAAACCAATCAAACTTGTGTGGTGGATTGTTATGTAATAGAGCCCTGCATTGGGTACCCATACCCACACCCACCCATGTATCCACCTATACCCAATGACTATGGGTGGGTATGTGTATGCCCATGGCCTTATGGGCGGGTATGGGTGGGTACTCAACATCAGAGGATAAATCAATTTACATTGTTAATCATCATATATCTTATATTACTGTAATTATCACTACATAGTGTGCAACACTAAACCATGTCGCGACTACGATAAATTATGATATGCATTTTGAAAGTTTGCAATCATAGCAAAGGGCAGCAAGCCTCAAGGCCATCAATCCGTGGCAGACTACGTTCAAAAAATATGGAAAGTAGGTGGGTATAGGTGGAACTTTTATTTGGTTCGGTGAACGTACGTAGAGGAACGTCCGGTCGGCACTAAAATCCAGCCAAAAAACTCGGTATTTGCTAGGTATTGCTAGGTATTATTTGGTAATAACGAGGAATACCATCATGTGAAGACCCAATACTGAGTTATACCGAGCTATACCGAGTTGTCCAAAAAAAAATACTGAGTTGTACTCGGTATTGCTCGGTATAACTCGGTATTGAGTCTTCACATGATGGTATTCCTCGTTATTGTTTGATATTGCTCGGTATTTCTCGTTTTTTGGCGTGATTTTAGCTCCGACCGGACGTAGCTCTACGTCCGGTCGAAGGACGTAATAATTGTTCGTATAGGTGGGTATGGCATCCCAAAAGACACCATGGGTGGGTGTGGGTGGGCGAAGCTCATCCGAATAAAGCATAGGTACCCAACCAGGACCCCATGTAGGGCTTTGTTATGTAAGGGTGAATTTTTTTATATAAGATGTTGTGCTCATATTATGAATCTTATTGTGCAAGAGGGAATGAAGGAGGTTGATGTGTCTATTGCTAATGTAAGAGAAAGTATCAAATATGTGAAAGGTTCACAAGCAAGAAAGCAAAAATTTTTGGAATGTGTCAAGCAAAGTTATCTTGACTCTAAAAAAGGATTACGACAAGATGTTCTTACAAGGTGGAACTCGACATTTATCATGTTAGATTCTGCTATTTATTATAGACGTGCTTTCCAGCATTTGGAACTATTAGATTCTAATTTTAAAACTTCCTCCAATAACATTGAATGTGAGGTTGGAGAGCATTTGCAAGTTCCTAGCTCCTTTTTTGAGATTACTTGTGCTTTCTCTGGAACAAAATATCCCACTTCAAATCTCTTCTTCCCTTGTGTTTCTACGGCTTATGCTGCACTTAAGCATGAAACTTCTTATGGGGTTGATTACATCAAAAATATTGCAGTAAAGATGTTAGTCAAATTTGAGAAGTATTGGTTTGATTTCAGTTATATATTGGTAATAGCAATTATCTTGGATATCAGGTACAAGTTTATATTTGTTGAGTGGTGTTATAGAAAGTTATATGGAGGTGACTACTTTATTGAGACAAAAAAGTTTAGGAAGAAACTATTTGCTTTATTTGCAAACTATGAAAAAGTTGAACGACATACGTCTAATTGTCAGTTGTCAGTAGGCTCAGATAGTTCTCAAGTTGAAAGCTCAATGATCGTTCCTCCAATAATTATAAAATCACAGTTTCTTCAAGTATGCTTCATTTTCATTCATTCAATCTATGCAACTAGGACTTCATTAACATTATCTATTCACTAACTTCAACATTGTATGCACAAATTTATAATTAGGATTACGACTCATTTGAAGAGGAAATTACACTGCCTAAGAAGTCACAACTTGAAATGTATCTTGAAGAACAAAAAATTAATAGGAAGGTTAAGTTAGATATATTACATTTTTGGAAAGGTAATCAGTACAAGTACACTGAAGTGGCCGCTATGGCACACAATGTTTTATGCATTCCCATTTCCACATTAGCTTCAGAAAGTGCATTCAATAACAATGGTAGAATACTGGATCAATATAGAAGTGCTTTAAAACATGACATTATTGAAGCCTTGGTTTGTAGTAAAGATTGGTTATATGGAGCTCTTCGGCCTACATATAATTGGGTTTCATTTGGGACAGCTTTTTTACCACTTATTAAAACAATTTTTTAATAAAAAATTTATACTAGAAAGTTGTTTTAAGGAGTGATAAAAAAACTGTCACAAACAATACCTCGGCAGGCTAAAAACTCAAACAAAATAATCTGGTAACATCAAAACAAAAGTGCTGGACATCAATGAAAGATGACATCTGCATTAACTTCACACAAATATGATACAGAGTGAACATACTTCCTTCCGCTGTAATAATTCAGTTGTGTTTAAATAGCGATTCCACTGATTGAAGGATTCATGATAAAGTTCCATAGGCAAAATAACACATAAAAATTGTTCAGAAACAAACATGACTTGATTACAGTAGAGATTGTTTCAGAAATCTGGAGCACCTGGGATGTTAACCCAGCTCAGCTGAAGCCCAACTTCACCAGACTCCACATTTCTCAAGTCTTGGATTACTCTTCCATCTTTCTCTATGATTGGGCTTTCGACAACGAGGCGGTTCTCCCTGCAGAAACATCATAAGCTCCATGATTGTTTAAGTGATAAATAAACTTGACTTGATTAAAGTAGATAGAGTTTAGAAATTTGGTGCACCTGGGATGTTAACCCAGCTCAGCTGCAGTTCGACTTCGCCGGACTCGACATTTCTCAGCCTCAGAACCAAGTCTTGGACCACTTTTCCATCTTTCTTTAAGATTGGGCTTTCAACGGCAAGACAGTTCTCCCTGCTGGGTTTCACAGTTGTGATTGTAGTACCATTTGGGATGCCAGTCAAATCCATTCTCACAGCAGCAAGGAAGGAATGGATGTCAAACTCTGCATCTCCCATTTCATCGTCGCTGCTGAATGTGTCTTTGTCAAATATTTGCTGAATCACATAGAAAATAGGATAAAAGCTAAATGATCAGTTAATTAGCAAGCGATGCATATATGATGTGTGAAACTAAAGTTTCGTTTGGGACGGTTTTCTTACCGTTTTCTAAAGCAGCTTTTTAGTACAAAAATTTCTAATTCAAGAATTTTTTGTACTAGAAATGTGCTTTAAAAAGCAATAAGAAAGCCATCCCAAACAAAGCCTAAATTTTTTTACTGCAATTTGACAAAGAATATAAGTTTCGATTGAGTTCATTTATAACAACTCATTGCCGTTAACAGAAAACATGGGCTTATTATATGCAGGTTGCGTAGGCATGAAGATAGGAACCATTGAGAGCTGAAATTGTAAACTTATTATTTTGACCTATCTTCTTTTATTCTGACATTGTAAACTTATTTATATATAAAAATATATATTAGCAGTAATCTCTCTCTGTTTTTCATCCCCACCTTACATTATTCTAATCTCGACCCTTGAACCATAAAAAATTGCTGAACCCAATACAGCTTTTCTACAGAATACATCTTCTAATATGTAATGTACCTGAAATACTATGGAAATATGCTGCTGCAGTTTCTTCTTGTTCTCTGGTTTCTGTTTTCATTACTGCTTCTAAACCATTTGTTTTCAGCCGCTCAACTTCTTCAAGCACAGGTATCAAACTTTGTTCATGGTATCAGAAACAGTAGCATAACCGCAACTCTCTTACATTCTATCTCGCTGCAATCTCATCATGGCAAGCTCGGCATCCTCAACTGCAGACCCTTCCCAATCAGAACCTCATGGCTTGGCCAAATCCCCTATCCCCTCCTTAAAATTGCTCATGTCTAGCATCAAACACATAGTTCATACACAATTTAGCAATGGCAATTATCCTATTTGGAGATTACAAATCCTGAAGATCTTTTCAACGAACAATTTCAATGGCTATCTAAGTGGTTTGACTCTTTGCCCTCCAAAGCAAATTTTTTCAGATACAAGAGATGTCACACAAATCCTGCATTTTATTCTTGGCACCTCTTGGATCAAAACCCTTTTGTTGCCCTCTTCTCCACCATCTCTTTCTCCATCTTATCTTACATTCTTAATCTCTCTACTTGTCATGAAATATGGATCACTTTGGAGTAATGACTTCAACCTAAAACTCGTTCTACGTCATATAACTCTAAAATGAACTACACAAGAATACATTAGCATGAAAGAGCTTACCATGTCTCATTATCTCTCTACCATTAAATCGCTAGTTAATAATATCGTAGTTGCCGGTTCTCACATTGATTTTGAGAACATTATTCTTTACATCCTAAATGGCCTACCATCCACTTACCAAACTTTCAAGACTGCAATTCACACCAAACTAACTCTAATCCGCCTTGATGATCTTTATTCCTTGATGTGCAGTGAGGGAAATCAGCCTCCATAACGATAACTCCAAAAATCTTTCTCCCCTTAATCCCACCAATGGCTCTTGTGGAACCAAGGGGCCGGTTCTCTAGTCCAGGCAAAGGCAGGAACACCAATGTCTCACATGCAGGCCACTCTCCATCTACCCTACACCCCATCTGTAAAATTTGCTGCAGAGTCTGCCACATTGTCATCAATTGTTGGCATCGTTGCAATCCTCATTACGGTGTCTCATCCCCTCTCATATGAAACCCCCATTAAAGTCACGGCTACTCGATGTCTCCAATGCCTTTTTTCATAACACCCTTCATGAAGACCTCTTTATGTCACAACCAGAAGGCTTTATGGAACATCTCCATTCTAATCATGTTTGTAAACTCCATAAAGCTATCTATGAGTTGAACCAAGCTCCTCACAAATGATTTGAAACATTCTCCACATTTCTAAAATCTCAAGGCTTTCACTTCAGTACCTCCGATCATTCTCTTCTTATTTACTCTCACAACAACATCACTGTGTATCTTCTACTATACATGGATAATCTTGAGGCTTTCACTTTAATACCTAATCAAAGGATTACTTCACTACATCAAAGGCACCATCCACCTCAGCCTTCCAATTACAAAAGGTACTCTTACTCTTTATTCTTATGCACATTCAGATTGGCCCTCCGATCCTAATGATTGGAAATCAACAACCAGCACCTACACTAACTTAGGTGGTACTCTTCTCCCTTGGAGTGTCAAAAAGCAATCAACAGTGACCAAATCCTACGCTTAAACTGAATATTGTGCTCTTGCCTCCGCCGCCTCTGAGGCTCCATTGCTTGCTACATGACTACAACATTCCTATATCCTCACCAACTCCCTTTCATTGTGATAACACCTCGGCTTTAGCTTTGACAAATAATCCAATATTTTGTGCTCATACAAAACACATCAAGATAAATTATCATTTTATTCGAGATTGCATCCACTTCAATGAAATTTAAATTCACCACATTGATTCCAAGGATCAGGCAACTGACCTCACCAAACCACTACCACCCAGGTTGACTCTTCTAAAAAACAAATTAACACTCTAACATTTTGATCGTTAATTTGTAGGGTGGTGATAACTCATCAATATATATATATATATATATATATATATATAGACACACATACACAGGCACGAGCATTAATCAATATAATAAATGTGATGAATATTCTTGAAAATATTTACATTTTTTATGATATTTACTATGAACTTGCATGCATTGAAATATGATATCACTCCAGATTTTATTCTCATTGAATGCTCACATATCATACTCTGTTTTACAATTTCCTTAATTGAGCATGGTTTCGAAATATAATCAACTTGCTCTAAGGGTACTATATAATTTACAGCCAATCCTTTGGTTAAAATATTTTTTATTATTATTCTGATGTAATGAACTCATTTTTAACTTTAACCTTATTTTATCTTTTCTCTACAACAACAACAACAACATCAACCCTTTATTCCACCATGTTAGGGTCGGCTACATGAATCTTTTTTCTCCATTGTGCCCTATTAAAAGTTAAATTCTCAATTAAATCTGATAAAGAAATGTCATTTCTAATATTTTCTAACCCAAGTCTTTCTAGGTCTACCTCTAACATTCTTAACATAAGTCAAATCTAATAGACTAATACATCTATTTTTCTAACCGGGTCATCGGAAGGGCGCCGTTTTATGTGACCAACCATCTAAAGCAACTCTCTCTAATCTTATCTTCCACTGGAGCTACTCCAACCTATTCATGTACATGCTCATATCATATCTTGTCTCTAAGAGTAAAGCCACTTATCCACTTGAGCATCCTCATCTTAAGATTAGAGAGATGGGATTATTAGCCACACTTATTTTTTCTTTTCTTTGATAAAATAAAATTTAATCTTGGTGTGTTTAAACGATAAAAGACGGGATTATTAGCCACTACATAGCACTTTTTCTATCAAAATAAACGAATGCTTCTTCCAAGGTTGTCTAAAATTTTGCAAAATTGTCTAACCCCAATAATTGCAGCAGTTAAGGAAGCCTCTGTAAACTCCTTAATTTGCTCTTAAATGCCAGTGGGTAGATCCCAAGAATGGGAGGCAAAACCCTCTAGAGCCGGTCCATCACGGACCGGCTGGGCCGGTCAGTGACCGGTGACCGGTCCTATTCACCCTCGACACTTGAGCTTGCATCAACTTCTAATTGCTACTTTTCCAACACATAAATTTCAGTCTAGGAAAATGCTATAGCCTGTGGCAGTCCTAGTATATTGATCTCATGCACATTCTGCAACATAATAGCTTATCACATGAAAGTGTTCTCTCAGTCGTTTTGAAGATACTTCTACTAGCTCAATATCTATGCTACTGAGTACTCTATCACAACGTAATTTCTGTTTCCAGCACTGCTAAAATTAGATTGTCATATAGGATATCAGGTACAATTACATAACGTATGGAAATGTTTAGGTTCTCACCTGTTATTGAAATGGTTATACAGGATGCACCCAAGTCATATATTATTACCTGCATCACAATTATGGGTTGCCCTATTACTACCACCACTGTAAGTCTCTTACCTATGATGTTCATACGCCATAGGATGAAATCATTTCTACAGGAAATCTGTTGATCTCAAGTCTTTGTGATCACATAATTTGGTGCTTCTACTCCACCTCAAAGATCTAAATTGATCTTAAATCAAGAATTCCCGCAGGCTTGCGAATCCAGGTTGCTTTGCGCCTCCATGACTTCCAATCGAGGCAACATGCTACGACTACTGCTTCACCAAGCTTCTTCGACCCAGGCATTTGCTGCGATACATGCGCAAAATTGTGCGTTCAAGAAACAACCCGCTCCGCGCACATGTACGATCACCGCGACTCCAGGCTTCCTGATCGAGTCTCCTGTGACCACTAGTTAATTCACTCGTCCACTCCTCTCGAGCCGTGCGACACCAGGCCACGCCGTCCACCTAAATTTTGCGGCTCGACTGTTCCCAACGAACTGCTATGAGCTCCCGCACGGCACCAGGTTGTCCGCCTGAGCTTCTGCCTACACGATCAAGTGTGCCCTATTCACGCGCAATCAACTCACGCCCCAAGCATCCAGCAACCCAACACCCTGCACCGCGTGCAACCTTCCTACGCGGCTACACCTTGCAACCCGCGCAAGTCACTCCACGCCTCCGCATGGCCCTGCTTTGCGCTCTGCGTGGCCCTTCCTTGTGCGCCCAGCTCCCGACCCCCAACCCCCCCTGCCTGCATGCCGAGCGAGACATGCGCGATCCCGTTCGCAACCAAGCCTTTGCCCACGCGAACGCGTCCACCACCCACGCCCGACCGTGATCACCTGTCTTCCGCGCGAACCCAGGCACGGGAGCCTCTCGATAGTGGCACCAGACGTTCTGTGCCTGTCCTTGCCTTCTCCTTCTTGACTTCAAGAAGCTTTCTCCACCTGGCTCTGATACCAATTTGTTGGGATTGATACCAATTTGTTGGGATTCTTGGGGGAGGAGCGCTATTCTTGAGCTTTTTTGGATGTAGAGGGGGAGAGGGAGGCAAA